GACCCGTTAGAATCTTATAGACCTGAATCATATCCCCCCTTAGTCTCCTTTGCTCAAGGCTAAACAGATTCAGCTCAGCTAACCTCTCCTCATAAGACATTCCTCTAAGGCCAGGAATCATTCTCGTAGCCCTCCGTTGCACCTTTTCTAAGGCAGCAATGTCCTTCTCAAGGTATGGTGACCAAACCTGCACACAATATTCTTGGTGGGATCTTACCAAGGAATTATACAAATGTAACATCACCTCTCTTGACTTAAACTCCACACACCTAGAGATATAACCCAACATTCTATTGGCTTTTTTTATTGCTTCCCCACACTGGCAAGAGTGGGACATGGAAGCATCAACATAGACAGCGAGATCTTTCTCGTAATCAGCTACCTTTATGCCCATTGCCATATATATATATATGTGTGTGTGTGTGTGTGTGAGATGAGACTCAAAATTGCCTCCCTGTGCTGCTGAGTGGCTAAGCAGTGAGGGAATGGTCGATTCTCCCTATGGATCCGCAGACGTGGTTCAGTTTGCTTGGGGCTGATGCCTGTCTCTCTTTTACTCCCCATCATTGTGTTAAAAGGATCGTTGTACTGGTCTTTCAAAGCCGCTTCCTGCCACATTCTTTGGAAGGGGTTAGCAACAGCAGTCTAAAGGTTAAAATACACCCCACCCACCTCACCAAACGACCACCAAGAGGGTGCAGCACCTGCAGGCTGTTTGTACCAGTGCACAGGAAGTCAGGCTCCTTTTAAGGTCTCAGACCCAGATTCCCCCAGTGCTCGGCATTCTGGGAGAAGCTGCATTTCAAATGTACGACTAAGGTCAGTACTACCCCTGTGACTGGCTCAAGAGGCTGATGTTTTCACACCTTTAACATAAATATAAAACCAAAACATAGATTTTTATCATACAATATATACTGAGCCGAGTCAACACAGCATTGGTGACTTTTACACAATATGTAACTCAGCATTCAGTGACCCCGATCTGTTACTTTACATGCTTTGCCACTTTTTGGCTGAGTTTCTGTTGTTCTTAAACACTTCCACTTTGCAATAATACCACTTATATTTCACTATGAAATATCTAGCAGGGAAGAAAGTTCATGAACTGACTTATTGCAAACATGGCATGCTATGACAATACCATGCTTAAATTCACTGAACTCTTTAGAATGACCCATTCTTTTACAAATGTTTGTAATTGCCATATATATATATATGGCAATGGGCATGAATGAAACACCTGAATTCAATGATTAACGTGTGTCCCAATACTTTTGCCCATATAGTGTGTGTATAGAGCAGAGAACTTCCTGTTTGTGCTGACCTCATGTTGCCAGCCCCTCCGCTTTACAGAGGAGCTCCTCCTTCTGGCTCTTGAAAGTAGCACGTTCTATCAGGAGTGTGACAAATTTATTCTGATAATGTTTGCATATAGTTTAAAACCAAACTTGGACTTCTCCCCTTAAGCACAGGATGCATTTTGAAGGGTCCTGTGCCTTTTCCACCAAGAAGGTCACAGCAGAAACACACAGACTGAATCATCACCTCCAGGATTCCATGGTTCTGCAATAACAGAAATGAATGCATAATCAAGTGCACAATGTAATTTTTGAAAGAACTTGCATTTTTTCAAATGGGGAAATGATATAAAGAACACGGCAAGACAGGGACTGATCCTGACAGCACCCCTCTCCATGCCTGAATACCTAGTAATGCCAGGACCAAGAAATTGGATAGGGCAACAAAAATAGGGAATGGCAGAGGGAGTTGGCCTTGGGGACCTGGGGTAAACAGACTACGTGAGGGACCTGATAAGGAGGAGGGACAAAACCAACGGACTTAAATTGGGACTAAGGCTGCCTTAAACAAAGGGTTGAGAAACCAAGGGAACAAACCAGGAGACTTACATGGGGAACTGAGACTGAATTGGGGAACTTAAGCACTAAGGCACGAAGAGATAACAAGGGAGAAAACTGAACAGTAGGATCCCTAGGGAACACAGAGTAGGATGGTGGACTCCGGGACTTTGGTGGGTCTAACAAAGGACTGGGAGTTAGACAAAGAAGGCTAGGCAGTGTGGGCTGCTGCAGGATTGACTGAAGGATATTTAGCTGGGCTGAGTGACAGCACAACTGGAACAGATGGAAACAGGGCAGGGTTGATGGGAGTAGGAACCACAGGTAAGTGAGGGTTTCAAGAAGGACTTTTGTTCGCAGGCAGGGTAGCTGGCAGTGGGTCTCAGGAGCATTGATGTAGTCCATACCCCCAATGATCTCTCCGGAAAATGGAGAGCTGGCCAGATTGTATCTGAAGGAGTCTGTATCTTTGTTGACGTTTCCAGGATTGGGAGAGGTAAGCGTGACCCGTGGTAGTCCGTCCCGCTTGAAATTCTTCCTGGAAAGTAAAAATCAAAACAAAAAACAAGGAATACGGCCTCAGGACGTGACCCGCAGCCAGTCCTTTACCAGCTGCACGTCATGGAGCCAGCTCTGGATCGTAGAACCAGACGAGTTCTTAATCCGGGCCGCAGAGAGTTCCAGCAGAAGCAGATCAAGGAAGGTGGATTTCCAGACAGTGGGAATGGCACGATCAGGAGACTTCCAACGAGAAGCTAATTACAACTTAGCTGCTAAGGAGGCAGACATCAGGAGCCTCTGCTGGAAGCAAGATAGAGAGAGAGAAGAGAAGTCCAGGAGAACAAGGACCACAGGAGACAGAGGGATGGGAGAGGAAAGAACTGAAGAGAGAGATCTGGCCACATAATCCCAAAGAGCAGCCACTGGAGGACAGTCCCAGAACATATGGAGAAAGGTACCAGGGACCTGAAGGGGACAAAGATGACATAAGGGGTCAGGCTCTAAGCCAGGGGTGTCCAAAGTCCGGCCCGCGGGCCAATCACGGCCCTCGGCCAGATTTCATACGGCCCGCAGCTTCGGTCTCATAATGTGTTATTTATGGCCCGCTAGCTCTGTCAGAATAAATAAATACTTTAAAAATGTAATTCCTCCTTTCACCACACGGTTCCGATACTATCTGGCTCTGCATTAGAGACCTGCACTCCCGCGGGACCCAACGCACCGAGTGCGGCGCGGGACAAGATTCGATGGGTGAATGCAGGTTCGGGCGGTAAGGTCCTCATCTATGTGCGGGTTGCGGGAGAATAGAATTAATCGCGGGACTCCCGCAAAATGGAATTATCTTAAAATTAATATATTAAAAACAAATACTGTATTATTTATCTACTGCACAAAAGCAACAAGAACGACTAAATTAAAATAATAATTTACAGGCACAAGGTCGGAAGCTAATTCTCGCGTGGTTCATGCGCAGAACTATAGGCTATATCTGTCACGATGCGGGGCAAGCGAGCAGGGAAGCAGGCGAAGTGCAGCCAGAACGTCAGGTAAACTGGATTTATTCAACG